GAAAACGAGGACATATGTTAAGTGGGTGGAGCGCCTTCTGCTGGCAAAACTTGGGAATTACAGAGAATTATTCATTCCTATTTTTAAAACTGAAATTAGAATGCACTATTGTCTACTTTGCTTCCTGTCCATAAAATTGCACACTGATTTCTCCTTAAATTTCTTCTGTATATGATTTCTCATAAAATATAGCTATAGTCTAATAGAGGAAGGCACAGTAAAGAAATCTGTGAAATATGTATATCTGTAGATGAATTTCTTTTTTTAAAGACACAAGAAATTTGATGGTGATTACTTTTGGGAAGTCAGAGCAGTACACCCTTTTGTATTGTTTGAATTTTATTTACCATGTGTATTTGTTCTTTCATAACAAGAAGAAAAAGAGAAAATCTAAAATAAGCAGGTTTTGTCTGAAATTTTTTCGAAGTTGAACTCTCAAATGATTCTTTAATTCTTCTTCAAGAAAAGGAAGTCACAAGAGAAAAGGAAGAAAATACAGAAGTCACGTTTAAAATCTACATCCCAAGTTTGTACAATTTCCACCAGACTACAGAAAAAAAATACTACTAAATGGATAAAAATGTGGTCATTTTCAATAATAGAATTCCTCTAGAATTATTAATAAAGCTATAATACCTTGCTACTAACTCTGGAAATTCCTTTGTAATTTGCTTTACTATATAAACAATAAACCATTCATCCTCAATGTTATCTCCAAACTTTGTCATGCCAAATATATGAGCAGGAACACCTCCTAAAAACAAGAGAAAAACAATCATATAACCAAATAAATATACCAGTGCAAATAAAAGTACAAGTAATCATTCAATTAAACAAACACTTATTGACTGGCTATGCTCCAGGTACTATACTGGGAGCTGGGGTTGCAATCCTGAACAAGATACAAGAAGCTTATTCTTGAGGAGCTTAGGGTCTAAGCTAAACAAGAATGATGAACAGAGGTATACACTGAGGGCTATGTGAGCATAAAGTATGTGATATCTGAGCTACAATCATCTGGAGGAATGACCAGAAGTAGGCTTTCCAGAAAGAGAGAACATGTGCATGTGCAAAAACACAGAGTCATGACAGACAATAGCGTGTTCTGGGAATATCAGCAGAAATTTTCAAACAAGTGCATCCAAAAATATGTAGAACTTAAACAAGACACTCAGACAGCCAATGGGTCAAAGAAGAAATCACAAGGGAAATTAGACAATATCTTGAGACAAATGAAAACAAAAACACAACATGCCACAAAGATGGGATGCAGTGACAGCAGTGCTAAGAGGAAATTTATAGTTATAAAAGATGTCAAATCAACAACCTAACTTTATACCTTAAGAAACTAGAAAAAGAAGAACAAACTAAACTCAAAGCTAAAGGAAGGAAATAATGAAGATTAGAGCAGAGATAAATGAAATAGAGAATAGAAAAACAATATTTAAAAAATCAATTAAACAGAGTTGGTTTGTTTAAAAGATCAACAAAATTGACAAAACTTTAGTTAGATTAACTAACTAAATAGTGGGATTTATTCCTGGAATATAAGGATGATTTGACACAAGAAAACCAACCAATGTAATACACCATATTAACAGAATGAAGGTCAAACAAGTGTAGTGCGGAGTGTCTCAAGAGCTACCATGGCAAAAAGAATCCCCAAACAGGTGGGAAGAGCTGCCCAACCAACTCTTCTCCCTACTCCAGATTTCCCAAGTTTCATCAAGCATAGAAGCTCCAGTTAGGGTGTCTATTTTTATCTACCTTACATATTAAACTTCAATTTGAATTTCATCCAGAAGCAATGAGGAACTGCTGAAGGATGTTAGGCAGGAGAGTGACATGATCAAATTTGTGTTTTACAAAGGTAACTGGCAATAGGGTCAGGAACTGCAGACACTGGAACCAGAGAGGTTAGTTAGGTGGCTACTGTAGTCTTCCAGATGAAGAGATCAAGGGGGCCTAGACTGTAGCCAAACAGATGTAGAGAGGGGTCATATTTTAGGAGTAATCACACTAGGATTTAGTGCCTGACTGAACATGGTGAAGTGAGGAGTTGAGGATGATTCTGAATTACTAACAAGCTTGATAACTAGGTGGCTAGCAACCCCATTAAGGAAGACAAGAAAACAATGTGTAAAAATGATTTTCTAGAAAAAAGGTAGGGAATTGGTTTTGGCTGTGCTAATGGGACAGTGTTCTTGCCAATAAATATCACGTGTTTCAGTGAATAGGTGTTTAATAAAATTAACGTTTTGCATTTGGCAACTGCTAGCCAAAAGGAAACAGATAAGCACTAAATTGAGAGCCAGAATGATTGTATTACAAGATGCCAGGCTCCTGATCTGAAATAAGACCCCACAGAAGTCACTGCATGAGTAGAGCCTTGGTCACCTATCCATGATTCATTTTAGTAAAGTTATAAGAAATGACAGGACAAAGTACCATATTTGGCCAGAGGTCAGATCTCAAGCACGGACAATACAGGGAAGCAGTGAAGGAACCTCAAAATGCTTCCGAGTGGCAAATAATGGTCATTTAGCTCAATTATTTCTCTTTATAAGCCAAGCAGAGCCACTCTTAGATCCTTACCAAAACAACTATGTGAAAGGCAGCCTAGTAAACATACTATCAAGACTGAGGAATACAGAGTAACAGCTAAAAGAACTATGGTTAAGGAAGCCAGATGCCTGAACCTGTTTAGTATAGGTACCTAGATACATTATGGCATAGTCATTAAAGTTCAAAACAAGAGCCATGGCTTAATAATGTTGAATATATATTAGTTCCTAAGATAATGACTATTAGAAAGCATCTATCAACATGAATTTAAAAAATTTTTTTTTAAGTTCAAGGGCTTAACTGAATAGAGGCAAACACCATAAAAAGTTCAGGATATAAATCTCCTGACAGGGTTTCCCTGGTGGCGCAGTGGTTAAGAATCCGCCTGCCAATGCAGGAGACACGGGTTCAATTCCTGGTCTGGGAAGATCCCACATGCCGTGGAGCAACTAAGCCCGTGCGCCACAACTACTGAGCTTGCACTCTAGAGCCCACGAGCCACAACTACTGAGCCTGCATGCCCCAGCTACCGAAGCCCACGCACCTAGAGCCCGTGCTCCGCAACAAGAAGCCACCACAAGAAGAAGCCCGCACACCACAATGAACAGTAGCCCCCACTCGCCGCAACTAGAGAAAGCCTGCACGCAGCAACAAAGACCCAACACAGCCCAAAATAAATAAATTAATTAATTTTTAAAAATCTCCTAACACTGAATGAACTATGGACTATTATACATCACTGTTGTCAGAATGACATTAAAAGTCACACATATGAAAGCAAAAGAGCCTTACCTTTCCCAGGTTTATATTTGAGATTGAAAGGCTGATTCTGCCAGATATAGGGGACCAGCATAGGTGCAAACTGGGTCATTATCTTCTCAATGTACTTTTGAAGAATCTCTCTGTGTTCTTCTGGGTCCCTTGGTTCATCTGGTATCAGGAACAGGTGGTATTCTACAGTGTCTTCCACTGTAGCAAACTTCATATTTTCCTCCATTCTTCTTTGAAATCTACATTTAAAGTTTCAATAATATAAACCATATAGAATAATGTAGAAGTAATATCCCATTCCCTGAACTATGCTAGGCAATTCCATTAACGTTGTTTCCCAAAATTCAGTTATCCACATACCATCATCATGATTTTTGCCTTGACCACATACCAACCATAATAACATTTATTTAACATTCTTTTAATGACATTGTTATACTTACCATTACATTAAAGGAACTTTTGATATAATAGAATAGATGGAAATCCAATACCACATTCCCAAATTAACTAATAAGTATGTAAGAATAAAATAAAAACTGTTTGCCCTTGCACTAGCAGTGGTGTGTATAAACACTTTTAGAAACACTGAAATAACATCTTTTGAAACACTATCACAAGTCCCAGTTCTGCCAGTAGTCCCAGTTGTGTTATTCTGGGCATTTCACTTTCTTCCTGGGGCTTTTTCCTTAATTGTAGAATGAGACTGTTACTGTATCAGCTCTATAATCCGTACCTCGTTTAAATTTTTATTATTTAAATTTTCTGAAAAGCAATCTCCCTTACTCTGCAGAATTAAATCTCTCCCGTTGTATGGCATAGAGGGATTCAAAACTACAAAACATTCATGCCCTATCATTTCACCCCCAAATAATCTGCCCATGGCTCTTGATCCTACAACTATCTATCCTAAATTTTCCCCCTTCTCAGGTCTCAAAAGGTATAGCTCTGGTAATATTAGGCGGTGGTAAATAACTATTTTCTAAGGGTTCCCCTTACAAACAAAAGTACTAGCTCACTATTGCTTCCAGGTGAGGCTTGGTAAAGGAAGACGCTGTTTTGGATTATCCACTTTACGGCTGCAATTCGATTTTTAGACTTGTTTTTCTAATGGACTAGTAAAACGAGGTCGAGAGGAACTTGCATCTTCTATCCAGGCACCCATTCGCTACTTTCTGTCCAAATCATCATTTGGCCTTTTAACCCAGGTAGACAGATGCTAACTACCCACCCAAGGACTAGAAGGGGCTTTGAGATCACTCAGGCTAATTCCACACTGTGCATATGAGAAAACCGGGAGCACAGCAAGAGAAGCAACCAAGCAGCAGAGGCCTGACATGGGAGTCTAGAGCTTTTTACTCAGACTAGGCGCACTCCTTCATCCAACAAAATGACGCCAATTCCGCTTACGGTTCTAGGGCCTGGGCCTCTCCGGCAAGTCTCTGCTGTGGCACCTTTCCTCAGCCGCCTCTCCTATCACGTGAGCTGGTCGGGAGCTGCCAGCAGCAGCCAAAGCCTGGCTCAGGCTGGGTCCACACGCTCGTCTGGGACCAGAAGCCAGCAGAAACTCTGAAAGTCAGAAACCGGCTCAGCCTCGGAACCGCGGGCGCCGTCCCTGTTGTGCGTCGGCGAGAGCATTAGATGGGGGCCCGTGTGCCTTCGTCACTTCCGGCTCCACGGGGAAGCAAGGAGAGCGGGAGACTAGGGAGGTGGGGATCCTGTGGGATTGACGGCTCGGAGTCTAAGAGACGGGGCGTGACGGGGCCGGAAGGTGGCGAGAGGGAGCCGACCCGGGAGGGCCAGGCCAGAGGCCCCCAAGCTGGCTTGCCCGCCCCGGCCGCGGCTGAGGAGGAAGAGGAGGATGATCTCCAGATACACTCGGAAGGCGGTGCCACAGAATTTGGAGCTGTGAGTGGACTGCTCAGCCACCCCAGCCCGGCCCAGGCCGAGGCGGGCCGCAGGCGCTTTGCGGACCCTCCCTGACCAGTCCCTTGCTCCTTTTTCCTTTCCCAGGGCGAGGGAAATAAAATTTTCTTCGGAATTCTCTCCTCCCAGCCTTGCTGGACGTTGCCCCTTCTACTTCCATCTCCAGCTAAGGGCGTGTTACCTGTGCTGTCGCAGAACTTGGCCCTCTTGGGCTGCACTCTTGAGCTCGGGGACTGGGGTTCCTAAGGCATTTTGTAGTTTCTGCAGTGCTTCGTGCCCCAGTGTCAATGACCATTGACAACTCGTGAAGCTATTAATAGCTGAGTGCTACAATGAAGTTGAATACGTCTAGTGCCAAGCACAGTGCAAAGCTGCTTACATGCATGCATTAGCTCACTTAATCGTGTCAATAAGGAGACCAGATAGGAACTATTATTTTGCCCTTTCTACAGATATAGATCCCAGACCTAAAGATTGTAGCATGCCAAAGATCACACAGCCAGAGGGTGGTGGAGCTGAAGTACGAACCTGTTGTCAATCTGTTTTTGAAGCTTGTGGTCATAACCATTACACATACTGCCTCCGCACCTCTGCAATTTAGTGTCAGAATCCTTAAGGATCAGTTTTGCTTTTGAGACTTTAGACAGCAAATATTTCCCGCTTAAAGACCCACCTCCCACCCCTAGTGAAGTGTTATAATGTAGGAAGTAATGATAATGTCATTCATTTATTAATGCTTTACACTTTCAAAAAGACTTTCACATTTTGATTCTCTTAACAACTCTGTAAGATGGGTATGATTATCTTTAGTTTTTCAGCAGATGAAATATCAGAAAGGTACACATCTTAAGATTATATAACCAATAGGTTTTGAGCTTGGGTTTTTCAACCCCAAATACCAATATTTTTCCTCCACTAAACTATGTAATTTTAGCAACCATACATTTATTAATTAAATATTAACTATACAGGGCAATTAACAGGCATGGTATCTTCAGTCATATCTGGGTTTCTGTTTAGACTCTTTTGTAGCCTTGTTAATTTTAGGCAAATTACTAAATCTTTGAGCCTTCATTTCTGTAATATAGGAATAAGACCTTATCTAAAAGCATATCTAAAGTGATGGCATAGCACTTGATGCATAGTAGGTCCTCGGTAAATGGTAATTTCCTTGTCCCTTCCCACCTTTACTTGGTACAATAGCCATACAAACAAAATCAGTCTATGATCTTTCCTTGCCTTTCAGAAGCTTATTATCTACTAAATAATAGGATAGGACACAGAAGCAGTTCAGTTAATAGGCTTTTTTAGCAAATAGGAAGAAGAAAGTCATTTACTAATAAAGGGAACAGGGCTTAGGCAAAAATCTGCTTTTATAATTAATTCTGACCATTCTGAGAGTGAAAAACAAATATCATTTATGGAAAAAATTGTTGTTAGCACTTATTGGGCCAGAATTATTGACCCAGTATGGTTATGTTACTTGTTCTCTATTGTTGACTTGATACTCCCTAAAGATAACTCTCCCAAAAGATGATTCTGTAGAAGTGTCAGAATAATATGAATAATGATGATAATGAAGATTATACGCATCTAAATAACAGTATATATATATATATATTTTTTTTTTTTTTTTTATTTTTTTTTTAAAATTTTTTTTTTTTTATTTTGGTATATTTTTTTAAAATATTGTGT